AGCTGCAAAGTAGAAGATTTCATTCAGTAACTTTGTATACACTTACTAGTAACCATAATACCTACCATTAGCGCCTTCAAATAGACTAATTTACACTTCAATTAATTTTACCGCTTCACCGTCTTCTCTTACAATTACAGTAATTATATTGAAGACAAATATTTACCGTGTATTTACAACTGATGTTTAGTCGATCGCCCACGCGATGACAGCCGCCCATTACTGCGCCAGCGCTTCGAGGGCTTAAGCCCTTTCACATTTACCTAGCTTGTTCGTATCAAGCTGTCAGAAGTTCTGAATATGAGGCTAAAGTTATAAGAGGACAGATTATGGAATGTTCTAGTTTAAATGTTAGCTAATACTACAACTTAGAATTTATGACATATATTTCATCTCAAATGCGCCCTGTTTATACTATTTATATTTAATCTTGCAATAAAATAAATAAAGAGGCTTTAAAATAAAGAGTTTTCATATTAAGTAGACTATTTGACATTCAAACCACACTACTATTTTTTTGACTCAATTTTAAATACACTACACCTTTAGTAACAAATAAAAATAAATCTTCTCTTTATATAAATAAAGCTAAACATAAATTACATTTAGCTTAGCCTCGTAAAAATATTTAACATTTACACTAAACATGACAAATGTTGTTAGACCAATTTATCTTGGACTAAAAACGGGTTCGTAAAAACGTGTACGTAAGTACAACAATAGTTTGTAAGCACATAGCGAGCCAAACAAATTGAACATTTGTACGCAGTGTTACATTTAATTAAAAATTTGTTCGTTTTATTTCATCAGAGTCTTCGTAGCGTAGCATTCGATGGTTTCGTCCCAAGGGTAGAGTATCGAGATATAATATAAAGCATTCTGTATAAATAAAAATGTAAATCGTCCTTTTTTGGGTATAAAGGCAATGATTGCTTTGTTTATACCCACGATCCGCGATTTTAAGATTCATGGAAACCATAAAACGAATGTCGTTCCAAATGTTTTGAATATAAATTGATCATCTCCACTGGTTCGTCCATGTCAAACAAAAGCTGCTTCAAAATAAAGTCATAAAATTGTACGTTAAACAATAAATCTCACTTGAAAAGTCTCTCTTTAATATTAATTGTGTTTTTACTCCAAAACGGATCGATGATATCGCATTCTTTCGATCAATTCTACAATATTTTAGGTACAAAATTGTATTAAGTGGAAACTAATGTTTTGTCTCTAAAAGTTGAATTAAAATGCCATTAACTGGACATAATTATTTTTCATTTCTTCGCTTAAAAAATCTGTAAAAATAGATGAATAGGATTTTAAAGTTATTTAAATCCATGTTTAAATTGATTTAAAAAATACGTTTTTATTTGAAAATATTTTTATCAGATTTAAATAAATATCACTGGCACTATGTAAATTTAATTTCATTTTCGAAAAAAAGATAGCGAATGCTATAAAATCAAAGAGAGTCGTGTGAAACGGCTTCTATTTGATAAATGCACTCCGGCTTGAGATAAGCAGACGTGTAGCTCTTGATATGTCCGCCCGACAGTCGCTAAGACTAGTGGTAATTGCTCCACGAGAGCTTGCCATCAATTAACATTCAATTCTTAAGAATTCATTCCACCTTTCTTTAATATTGCCAATCCTTAATTGCCGACTTTGATTGAGAGGGGGAGTGACATCTGAAGAGAATAATTTACAAAAACCTCTCGTAACTTGATTTCATCAAGTTTTTTCAATAAAGACTCTTTGGATACTTTTATAATAAATGTCACAGTTGGGAGAAAATTAGTTCTTAAATCGAAAATGTCTAGTTTTACCTCGTCATTCTGGTTAATTTAGTTTTTGTAGAAGTTTGCTGAGAGAATGAAAAGATACCTATTTGTGGGGTCCTTTCGTTAAATTTATTTTAATAGCTATACGTAACATTACACCTTTTATCCTCGAAGGGGTAGGCAGAAGAGGTGCACATAACGGCACTTTATGTTACGCACTTTTCACTATTTATGTTATGAGTGCCATGTAATAGGGGGTGTGATTGTCATATACCTGGCACAATTCCAGACTTCGTGTAACTACTGAGAATTTTATTAAAAACCCTGTAATACTTTGCCCGACCCGGGAATCGAACCCGAGATACCTTGCCTAGGAATTACACTTGCGACTCGGCCAACGAGGCAATATTAATAGCTGTAGATTTTATAAAACGTTACAGTACTTGGGTATTTAAGTATTTGCTTTAATGTACCTAATAATATCTGCATAAGTATATATTACTGCGGCTAGTATTTAGATTCGAACCGCAACTTTAGATAAGAAGCCCCGCTTCGGGCACTTGAAATGTCCATCTGACAATCATTAAGCCTAGTGGTAATCGCATAACATGAATTTCCGTCCTACAGTTGAAAGCATGTCATCAGATTTGCTGTACAAAAACCACTCTTATTACATTGTCATAAAGAGATTCAACTGTTCATGGCCAAACCATTACCAGTTACTTCAGGTCATCTGCTAAAGACTTAGCAAATAGACATATTAAAATTTAAATCTTTGTTATGCATTTACATTTAAAACTGTGTACCTAATAGATGAATCTAAATATGCAAGGGTTATATAGTAAAATCTAAATTAATTTAAGTGCCGTAAAAAACAGTGAACTCCATATTTTCTATCCTTAAACGGGATCAAAAGAACATCTAAAACCTGACCGTGGAGATATAAAACATGCACTTAATACTGAGTATTACCACTCTGATATTAAAATGGTAACATACCCAGCTTTTAAATAACAGGGTTCGCTATCAGACAACACCTCAGTTACATAAAAGATAGTTGTACTAGAGGTCGTTAACAAGAAAGTCTGTCCCACACATTCGCTTTGCTTCGGCAGTTTAGATAGGATCAACTTAAAATATACCGATTGCAATATCTCCAGCTATACGTTAGGTTATCTATCGACTTGGAATAAGGATTTGTAATCGCAGGATAATCCAGATCGTAGAACATAATATGTTGTGTTATTGGGTATCGACTCAGTTGATATCGCACAATTTTCCTTCTAACTTATGAGATTTTATTTTATGGATTATATTATGTACCTGCGTGATCTTTTTTATATTGCTTGACATGGCGTTTAATATTTTCTGTGTATGTAGTAATATCGTCTGCTTGTGTAATATTGAGTTGGTAATCTCTCTTATCCATGTTGGTTTATAGAACAAGTAGTCATTCTCAGTTGCTTAGCTACACACTCGTAGCTATATACTTATATGGCTTAACTACATTTAGCAATACTAGAATAGACAAACTACTATTATGTATATTAGGAGCAGTAAATCACAGTCATTTGAATGGCATGACAAAACTGATCAGAATGAATTAAAACGAAGTGCACCGAAAAAATGTCTACATTTAGGGGACTATCGTAACCAAAGGCACATAAGGCATAAGTAATGTGCTCAAGTTCTGTAATAAATCTTAAAAGAATGCTTTGCCCGCTCCCAAAAGGATACTCGTGGAAGCGTTCACCTTCTATTTTCCTTGTTATTTATGAGCCTATGCTTTATACTAGAACCGCGGGCCAAGAATAAAATGGGTAACTAAAATAAATGGCCCTACGTTACCATAATCATAGATTTCTATAGCGAACTCTATAACTTTTTTTCTTAATGAAAACGAATGGGAAAAACTAGAAGCCGATACCAAAGAGCGACTATCTTAACTGGCTTTTTATAAAAAAAAGACAAGCATGATTCGACTTTAACGATGTGAAAACAAAAAGGCGATATCTAATCTTACGACGTGAATTATGGGGATCCGTGAATGCGACCGTAGACGACTGTCTATTATAGTTCAGAATGCCGGCTCTGTCTTCCACTTACACGTAATTTACATTAAGATGCCTTCACATTTGCATGTCGGAACAACCTTTTCATAATCGTCACGTCGGTGGCTCCCAACTTGGCGATTAGCTTAATGGATTTCTCAATTTAATGAAACTCAAACTTTGTAATTGGCTTTTTAAAAGATAGGACGGAATTTACGATTACTTACTTATTTTAGCTTTTTTTCTTTTTCGCCCGACGACCCAATTTTTTGAAGCGACGCGTTTTAAAATGGATTTCATTGTTGTGTCCCGTTATTTGAAAAAAAAAAAATGTTTTAAGTATTTAAGCTGGCACGGACAGGACGACAATAGTTGGAATAGGGGGTACCTTGGTTGTGTGAGGCACAAATCTTTTTGTTTGATCAGGCGTTTGTTGACAACAAATTCGTTGACGTTAATCCCTAGACAATAGTACCGTTTTATCCGAGGAAGGCTAGACGGCCCCAACGGTATCCTTTAACCGAAGTTAAATCTCAATGTTTGTTTAAAGGATTCTTTGAAATGATTGATGTTTATTCAAGCGGTAAACCCCGCTAAACTCGCGGGGTATTAAAAATTAATATCGATATTGAATAGTTTATTGTAGTTGTGACATTTATTGACGCTTAAGCTCAATAATATGAGACCATAAATTATGTTTCAACAGTTTAAAGGACAAATAAAAAACTATTGTATATTTTCTAATAAAAGAAAATAGACGCAGTTGGTATAACACATACTTTTGTAGATGTTTAGTTAGAAACTCGAAGGGCTAACTACGTATTCATCAAAACGTGTTATAATATTCAAGTCTTCAATATCTTTGAAGCATCAGTGTATAAAAACTGTAATTGCCCAACACTCGTTTATAAATCGTCAAGAAAGTTCGAGAATGTAATGAAAAAGTTTGGTAATCTCGCTTAAGGTGTCAGAACCGTTCGTTAGCCGTCATTCTTTGCGTCCTCTCTAAATTATATAAATTACCGAAGTATTTAGTTTTTATATAGATCCCGTTCCGGCACCGATGAACACTCTTTGTGCAGTATTTTGAGACAAAAGAAGATGAGAACAATAGGACATCTATTTTTTCCGCCGTCAGAAACAATGTCGATAAATTAAAACACATTCATAATTTGGCAGACATATTTATTTATACACGTTAAAGATCAGCGTCGTCATTTATAGCAATTCATATTTACAAAATCGAGTGAAGGTACTAATTAATCACAAAAAAATAAATAAATTTAATTAAGCTCCTAACTTACGTCCTACTCGGATTTTGGTTGTCACAGAACCAAAATTTGTTTCAAATAACATATAATTTTGGTCTCTTTTACACTTTTGCACTACAAAAACGAAACTTAAGTTATTAAGTACAAGTGTTTAAAGCCTAACATCAACTTTAAACAAATAATTATGACACTACACTGATATACGTAATATTACGTGTATGGCTAAGAAATTCTGAAAGACAATCAGTTGTATGGGCACGTTGCAATGGAATAAAAACTCATTTTTTCTGGAAAACCCTTAATCGATACATCCACCCGTAACTTCTACAAATATCTGTCATAGGCCAAGAAAAATATAATTTCTCTGTTAAGTTTTTACAATAAATGTTTCCATTATTTACAAATACATACATTATATGTTTATTGCTGAAGAAGACGTCATAAAGTTCACTAGAATGAGTCAGAACCTCATCGAAACTATTATCGTAAAATATATCTAATAACTATGTTTAACTAAACGATAATAAGGACTAGTTGTAAAAATAGTTCTAGATATTTATACCGATTAGTCTAATAAACTTGATTCCGTATAACAATCCATTTCGATAACATTAAATAGAAATTTCGTTTTGAACTCCATCTTTACCGGTATCAGTCCAGGAGCACTAAAACGAAAGTTTATATTCCAAGCTGTCGTGGTGGATCTCAATATCTTTCTTAGAATACCAAAACGAATTGAAATTGAACATCGAAATCCGGCACACGCAATACAGTTATTTATTTACAAGCAGTATATAAATCAAGTCGTATTTTAGAAAATTATCATTTAGTTACTATTTTTTTTCTTAACATATGTACACAACTAATTTTTCTGGTGTTAACCTTACTGTGTTTCATAAATACATTTATAAGTAGTAACTTTTTAATTTACAATCGCCTAACTCTACGTACAAACAAAATTACATAGGTAATTTTTATTACAGCAGCATTTACATACAGTGTTCCAAAGTCCATTACAATTTACAACGTATAGTTACAGGCATTCCATAATAAATGCTTTTTTAACTTTCACTTATTCTCTCTTTTAGAGTTTTAGAGTATCACAAACAGCACTTCTTTCCACTTGAACTACTTGTCTTTAACGGAGTTCGTCCAAATGCTTAGGAACTGAAGACGCGGTCTTCCACCGACAGCATATCGAAGCTGTGACGTCACACGACCACGTCACGTGGCACCGACTCGTTGGTCGATGTCTCTGGCACCAGCACCGGCTGGAAACAATGCGCGGCTGGAGCGAAATCCTCAACAAGCTTTCGCTTTAAAACAGAAGATGAACCAATGTACACGTTGGTACCTGGAAACGTTCCTCGTCGTCTCCGCCTCCATAGGACGGCAGCTAGTACAGCCAATCCAAATGCAATCATAGCTGACAAACATCCTAATACTAGTTCAGAGTCAGGTGAACGTTCTGGTACACGTTCCCCTCTCATAGAGCTTACCAGAACGGACATCAGCCGGTCCCCTTCACTAACTTGAACATCCTGAACGCTTTCGGTTGAAACGCGTTGAGCTCTGCTGGTGTCGATAGTCATGGTCTCTGACCTCTCATTGTCAACACCCGGCGTCCGCGACACAAGCTCCACTTGAATGTGGTAGACCGTATCGGGCCACAGGGATAACGTAACCCTGGTGGAATCCGTGAACAGATTGCCTTTCAGGCCCCCACCATCAACTTCCCAAGTAACTAAATACACTCCGCGGGCTATTCTTGGTTCCCAAGCGATTTCACCAATAACTAGGACCTTTTGGTGAATGAGGGAAATCTCTTTTAGTGTCCACTTGTGTTCATCATGGTTGGAAGTGTTTGTATCGTGGGCTACCCACGTTTCATCAGGACTGTATATGGTGACAAGTCCCAGTGGGTCGACAACAAGAACTCGTAGGAGGGCGCCCTCGTTGTTTGAAGGTACTCGTGTTGCTAGAGCTTGAGTTTGTATGATTTGCCGCCAGGGGCCTTCAGCGGCACGACGCATAACGACGTACACGAGTGGCACGGGACGGGATGCGGCTCGGGGTGCTGGCGGTGGCCAGCGGGCAAGCGCTCCACTCACACGCATCACCCCTTCACCCTTTGTGTGGATGACAGGCTGAGTTTGAGACGCACGCGCTGCTTCCGAATGGAATTCACACGCGATTTTGCACCCAGGGAACTACAACAAAAACAGAAAATGTTATTTTCTCAGATCATAAAAACAAAGTTGTTTTCTTTGGCTTATGAAGTTGTCAACTTACGCAAATATCTTTCTCATCGCAGATGGCTCCCCAAACTTGATAGTTGGACTGCAGCAGTTCACAATTTTCCCAACACTGTAACAACAAATACGTGTTGTACTAAACCATCAAATCACAAATTCGTCACAATTAAACAAGTCGTTTGAACTCCTGTGATTAATTATCTCGTTGGTCATTACGACAAATGAGTGGTGTGTACTGACATAGACAGATTTAAAAGTTAATGTTCATTCAAGAGACAAGTAGTGTGCTCAAACGGAATCTCTTTTTGTCAAATTAGTGTGTTATCCGATGGCCGACTTGTGTGTGGATACACTCGTTTGTCATTTACCTTTAGAAATAGGTCGGGATCGTCACTAACATAGAAACATTGTATTTCATGAGAATACGTCATAATTATGCCCAAATAGCTTCGCTTTAACGTGGTAGCAATTAACGGAGAATATTTTTAGATCTAAAATAAATTTCTTTGTGGATTGTAATGAGATTCATTGTAGTCCTTAAACATTTTTGTGTCTATTATTACTTCTTTATTAACATTTTCATCTAAAATACTTCCTTTGTTATTCTTGTAATTTAAAAGTAATTTAATTTTATTAATATTCTTTTATGTTTGATGAGCAAGCAATACATCTCGAGGACACGGACACATCCAGCCAAATTTGACTAGGGCGTCGCTTCGAATGCAGCATTTGTCATTGGAAACGCTCATTAGTTGGAGTTGACGTTAACTTGACGCCGCTCTCGCCTCGGTAAGCTTTAATAATTATAAGAACGGGCGAACCACGATTATTAATTACTGGTATTGACAAAAGGTACCGTTGGAATTCATGTTTTGACTGGGAATTTATTGGTTTTAACACTGAACGCACAGATGTTTTGCAGTAAATAGTCATTCATTCCTTTATTTATAGCAAAACTGTAATAACGAAGCTAGTGATTGGCGGAAGATAGAAGAAAGAAATACTGGATAAAATAGAATCGTCTTTAGAGATGGATGTAGTTATTATTTACGACTTTTGCCGTTATTATAGAAACTTACATTTATTCTGTTTAAAGTTTACTGCTGATTTTAGTTTAGAAAAGTATTAACTTAAACTATAAAATGAATGTGAATTGCAATCTATGGTATCTACATGCATATAGAGTAAGAAGCTCGCAATTAAAATTAAATGTTACAGCAAAACCAATTAGAAAATCTTTACGAGCTTCCTGAATGAAAACTTATAATTGCTAGGAATATAGTGAAGAAATTTAATAATGAATTACTTCTATATTTACTCTTTTAGTGATGAGATATTATAAGTGTGAGTCATTTCAATAGTATCAAATTAATTTGTATTCGTATTAATTAAGAAAAATTATCAACTCCATATTAGAAAGGTATTAACAATAATATATTTAATAAGATAAAGATAAAGATATATTTATTTAGTAAAACATGAGTAATTACAATGCAGGTGTTTTTTGGTTAGTACAGAGTCTACATGTTTTGCCATTGATGGCGTACTAAATCATTACTTTAGGCAGATAATACCAATCTACAATCAATAATTATACAAAATCAAATGTCAAAGTTTGAATGAAAAAAAAAAATTATAATGTAAATGAATAAAAATAATAATTTAAAAATCACAAGTCAAACAGTTTAAATTATGTCAATTGGTGAACAAAATATGTCAAAATTATAAACAAGATGTTATAATAAAATACCGTTCAAAATATAATAAACATATTATTAGGTAAGTTAATATGATCTGTAATTAATTACACTAGTTCCAAGAAACACTATATATTATATCGAGTGTATTTGCTCATCACAATAATAATTACGAATGGTATACAATGATTGTGTACTTAAGAGGACAAACAGAAAAGCTGTGTAATATATATTTTTTAATTTCGCGTTTATTACGTAGCCGTTTATTATGAAAACGTTTATGTTGAACGCATATTTATCCTACATTTAAGTTTTAATGTATGCATACAAAAGTAAGTACAGGTAAAGTTAAGTTCTAGGTTTTTTTAAGGAGTCCTTTATTCTTTACATTAAAATATTTTAATAATATCTAGATTTTTCACTTACCATAAAACAGTCGGGGCCTTGCAAACACGAGGACTCCCCACCAGGTCGAGGCGCGGCGAACTGTGAACAAACATTAAAAATGTCACTCAAATTCACCTTTTTTAAATTAATAAAAAATTAAACAATATCCTAACGATTATAGCCATTTTATTACTCCATAATATAATTTTATTGTTTCTATTTAAAATGTAGAGTGTGCTATTAAAATTCATCGTATTTTTTATCCCTCAATTATTTTTTAATGTCCTGGTGATGTTATGGCGTCCGAAAATATGTATTTTTATGCACAGTGTTTTGTTTTATTTATTTCACGATGGAGAAGATTGTCGTACAAGATTTGTACAAGATAAAAAATGCTTCAGAATCAACCATGAAATCCTTGAAATTATCAAGTCTCAAATCGCAATTTGTGTCATTTTTTGACGTTGAAAAAAATTGACAGGTGTGTCTAATTTGCATATTTATTAGCAAAATAACATCTGTTTTGTCGTATTTTATAATTTGTATAAATGAAATATTACATCATAAAGAACAATTTAAAAATATTTAACAATGAATCATTTCACAGCACATTAGCAATCAAAATATAAAATCGAATCATAAACTATTGATTTATTAAAATTATGTTTTATAAATTGGTCATAATTCAATATGGCCGCCATTAATTCGATAGCCAAACAGTTAAACAAAAATCAAAACGCAATCGCAATTTAATTCCGACCAAACTCAATAAAGAGACGTTTAATTATTCGACTGGGGACTAATACATTACTCGTTATCGGAACACTGTTTCAAGAAGTTTAATGTGCGGGTTAAAAAATAAAAGAAAATAAATGTTTGATTCAAGCAACCTGTTTAATGTATTTGATAAAAGTGACGGGCATCTGCCTACCGTTGCCGTCGTCTGGACGGTCGCTTTAATTGCCTGATATGCCAATGGGAAGCTTTAGAACACTGCACTGGCCTAAATGTCAAACGTTTTAATGTCGTGATGAAGAGTTTATGGCTAATGTGACGATTTATTTTTAATATTATTTTTTCTTTTCGACAATCGCTTCTAATGGCCCGTAAAATATGCTTGATATCATTATGCCCGATTCTATGACATTCAACTGTTTTCTGTCGCAGTAAAAGAGTTATTTATGGTCATCAAATGAGTGAAAACAAACGAACTTCTTGTAAATTACTTTGCTAGCCAATTTCCGAGAATCATCTTTAGAGTTATTGAGAAAACAAAGTTGTAGTTGATTAGAAAAATAATTGTTTCTTTATCATAACTACAAACGTTAAAATAACCTATTTCCTGAGCGGATGTTATTATTGACATTAAGATAAATTCACTAGAGTTATAATTCCAGAGTGCACAATTTTCTATTTACGACTGTAATTATTAGAAGTAACCCATAAAACGCTTTAGAAAGCAAGTAGCGAACAAAGAATAGCAAAGGAAAACAAAATTACTCTTTTAGGTCACTATCATTGCGGCTAATGATGCCAATCTGTGGCAGAGGCCATCAAACGACTCCGTCCATCCACCCGTTATTAGATGTAATCATCGTAATTTTTCACACAATTTATTTTTTCTACCGCGATACTACAGCTCAGGAGTGTTATTTCACGTCAACTAATGACAACAAAAAATACACTCGAGATTGAGTGCGCAATGCGCCGACAATAAAAACACCCGCTATATTTACAACATTCTTATTCTGACCGAACTTGAAAATAGGCCTCATAAATCAAATGAATTAAAGAGATACCTCGCTGAGGGCAACTCCGATGTACGCTAATGTATTAGATACTTTATTTTTAAGCTCCAACTAGCTTTTACTGAATAACAGATAATCAACTTTCGCCTTTCCAAATACGCAAACAACGAACTTCTAACCGATTTAATTATTACAAGTATTGTATCGCACGACTTGGTCTCTGAGAGTTTGAAATATGAAAGTTAAACAAAACAAAACGACGTGAATATACTTCGGCAACTGCAAAGGGAAGTGAGTGAATAACGAATGACGGTGATTGAAAATTGAAAACACAGGCTGTCGAGTGGCCTCGTATTTGTGTTAGATGCCGCCGCAGATTACCCTTTTGTTAATCAAACAACGCTTATTGAATATTATTTAATTAATCTTTCGTATTTGACTTCGGATAACGACGTCCCAAAAACGGATCACTTCAATAGATGGAACGATGGAATCAATAGAAAAATTTAAATATAGGAAGATACAAGAAAGGGCTTCGATCAAAAAAATAAAAGGGTCGATAAACATTCTAACACGGGACTTAATAGTTATTTCGAATGAACCGTTAATCTGAATAGAAAATTAGGGTTCAAGGATGTATTACAATTTAGAGGCGAGCCAGGATATTGCATACCAACACTTAAGAGTTTAAGAAATCCATTAAAGATAATCGTCAATAAGTCAGGCCCGGGGCTTCGGCCGAACAGGAACTAATCGATCGATGGGCACACACGGTCGTTTACAATCAATCCATCAGCGTTTATGTAACGCGCAACTACCGATGATCTTCATTTATCATTTTGTTTTGTGGGTAGCGAGCGCGCGCTCTTGGGGGTCAAACCAGAGGTCCGTACAAAATAAATTCCAGTGACTTACGAAATATGATATGTAAACAACTTTTTCTCCTTTAATCTAACGACACATCTTCGAGATTAATCACTTGTGCAATCGGTAGTTTGGAGTTGATTAACTTTTGATTTATTGGTTTGTACTGCAAAAGATTTATTGTAAATGTAAATAGAGAAGAGTTTTATTAAAATAGAAGTAGGAATCAATTAAAGTGTAACACAAATTGCGATTTTATCTGGGACAATAAACAATGGTGAGTGCGACATTTGCATGTAAGTTAGATAGGAGAAAAACATTAAATACCTAACAGCCTCCGTTGGCGAAAGAGGCAAAAACAGCATGAATTATGATTTCGCATAAAGATAAAATACAATCTAAGCTAGCGCGCCAAATGGCGAAGAAAAAATGAAATTTCTCCACAGAACAGATTGTAAGAGTTGAAGAGCGTAACAAGAAATAAGGGAACCTAGTGCCCGATGCGGATTACGAGTAAACTGATGGAGCAAAAGAATTTATTGAATACACTTCGAGAGGAACCGGGCTGTTTTGTTATTTAGACGGTAATACAATTTGGTATGAGTGGATGTCGAGCTTTGTCTTTGCAAAGTTATTAAAGTTCGTCAAGTATTTGCATTTTGAAGCTATATTACGAAGTAAAGAATAAATATAACTTCTGAACAACATATATAAATTAAAACATGTATTTGTAAGTACGTTTAGTTTCTTGAATTCCGAAACAACACTTCAAAACCCAGATTACATTATGCCATAGAAAGCTACACTTCTACCGAAACAGATACCAGGGTAACCACATTTCTAATTCAGTTTTCAATTCAATTTAACGTTTCTATATAAAAGTCGGTCAGAACTATCTGGCTTTAATACGGCATGTGAGTACACAGCTACTGTGTACCTTGTCTTTCCTTACGGCAGTTGCCATTTTATTTGCACTGGTGTAGGTAAACTCTATTAGCGGCCCGTTTTTACAAGTAGAAATTCAATTTCATTCCTGTACGGTCTCAGGTTTTTACTCGGAAGTAGGTTAGTCGGACCAGACGGATAAAATAAATGAAATATTTGGTAGGACAGAAGGTTTTTATTCGTACGTTGTTTTTGCGGTTCGTAGCTTCCGACTTGAAATTGATTTCGAGAATCTTCTATTTGTTACCAGGTTTTTATGAAACTATGTTGTAGTGACATTGAGTAAAGAGGTTTCGGGATTTACTTGTAGTTATTTGGAGTAGGTGTAAGCTAGTTTATGTAACATTGTCTGCAACTATTGCGTGGACCTTTTTTAATCTTATCGGCCTATAACTTCGTAGACATGTGGCCATATACCTACGCCTAAGTAATAAAACTAGAAAAACGTTAAACTATCACAAAAACAACTTTGTAAGAGGGTCACAAATAAAACGCCATGTCTAAAAAGGTGTACAGGGCCGTACATCAAGGAACCTGCCTCCTAATTAGTGATACTCATAGTTTTATTTTGTTTTTTCTACAAGGCATCAAGCAAGAACGTCTCGCGAGCATGTAGTATCATAATATACGATTAATGAAAAATATGTCGCCGGCGGCAATAAAAGATGGCATCGACATCATTAGGTACCAACGAAGATATGAATTTTTCATGAAATATGGACTGGCAGAGCTCTCGCACATCGCTTTGAGTAGAAAGGGCCGAGGTATCAACATTATTGTTTCCATGAGTTCCATTCGTTGAACGACTTTTTGCGATTGTCTGACAGAAAACAACAATTTTATCTTGCCTTTAGAACAAGACCATAAAATGTTTCAAAGTCGTTGGAAAACGTGAGACGGAATTCATTATTCACTTTTGAAACAAAGAGTCTAATGTGAAACGGGGTGAATAGAAACACGTGACATGAATAGGCTTGCACAAAAAGTAGAATTCATAAGATGTAGTCATAAAAAGAATTCATTTTAATCAATTATCGCAACATCTTGGGTTGGAAGTATATAAACTAATAAATTGTATTGAGTTTAAAATACGTATTACCTATAATAGGATGTAAAATGAATATACTAAATATGTTACTATCAAAGTGTTGACCCATTTACTTATTATGAACACATCCTGTCAATTTACTTTATTGATGTTATATTAAAGCATCATTAAGTTTTTGTACGCATTGCCTCTCTGACGGACCGCCTATAATTATGATGATACGATCCCGCAGTCCTTAAACTATTTTTAAATTATAGCAAGACGATCTTAAAATCAACCTCGGTATTATAGGGATAATTTATATTATGAGGTCAATATCTTGATTGGCGCCCGCCACACAGTTTAAAGCTTTTAAAACAATTGGTTCTTCATTCAATATAACAGCTTGGCCTCTAAATATACCCTTAAATAATTATCTATGGAAATAAAATTGTATGCTAAACAAACGTCTTTCCGAGTCAAGACTATCTTTATTTGCATGTAAGTACTCTGTA